CGTCAGTTTGCCGAGCCAGCAGCAGCTCCTGCCCCAGATGATCGGATGACAAAGCTGGAAAATATTCTAGCTTCATTCATGACTAGCACTCAAGCAACTGTCACGAGGTTGGACCAGAGCATAGCCTCACTTGAGGCAGGTCAGAGGAACCAAGGTGCCATTCTGCAAGATCTGCAGAACCAGGTGGGTATCTTGGCCCGCCAAAACACTACTAGGGCACCGGGGACTCTGCCTACCACCACTATTCCGAATCCTCGTGATCCTCACCAGCATCAGCAGCTGGATGCCATTTTTACCATGAGCGGTAAGACCATTTATGCTGATCATGTCCCGGCCAGGTAGGAGGAACCATTACCTGCTTCAGCACTTCCAGCCGACGATGCAGAAGTGCGGGTGGAGAAGGAAGTCCCTGCTCCCAAGCCACAAGCAGTGTTTAAGGAGCATGTACCTCAGCTTCCCTTCCCCACTTGCCTACACAAAGACAAGTTGGAGACTGAGTTTGCCAATTTTATGGCAATGTTGAAGCAGCTCAACATTAGCATACCGTTTGTGGAGGCACTGTCGAAGATGCCCAAGTACGCGAAGTTCATGAAAGATCTCCTCACCAACAAGAAGCAACTTGGGGATCTTTCGACAGTGATGCTCAGTGAGGAGTGTTCTGCTATCCTGCAGAACAAGCTGCCCGAAAAGCGCAAGGATCCAGGGAGTTTTACTATCCCTCTTACTATTGGCAGCATGCATGTAGGCAAGTCCTTGGCGGACCTAGGCGCTAGCATAAATGTCATGCCATATAAGTTGTATAAAAAGCTAGACCTAGGTGAACTTAGCCCTACTAGGATGAGCATTCAGCTAGCAGATCGTTCCATTGTGCATCCTAGGGGAATCATAGAGGATCTGCTTGTCAGTGTCGGTGCATTCACATATCCTGTTGATTTTGTTATTCTTGATATACATGAGGATGTGGATGTGCCTTTGATTCTGGGTAGACCATTTCTTGCCACCGCCAAGGCACTTATTGATGTGCATGATGGTAAACTGATCCTGCGTGCTGGGAATGAACATGCTACTTTTTCTGTGACTGAATTCGATCACTGTGCTATGATTGCTGTCACACCTGTGCATGCCATTTCTGATCAGGTACACGAGCCTGTCGTGTATCCTTCTGCACCTCTCATTTTGCAGGACCCTCCTATCATTCCTTCGCCGCCACCCCATCTAGTCTCGCCTCCAAACAAAAAGATCAAGGAGGAGTGGCGGCCGAAGCAGCAGGTTGCTAAGCCTGCACGGAAGAAGGGTGGAGACCACTACGAGCTGGTCCCACCTCCTGCACCACGACCACCCTGGCCGTCCGGGTACTCACTCGCCTGCATCTTGCCAGATGGCCAGGTCGAGCTGACCGATGATGGTGGTCGCATCCGTTGGGTGCATGGCCACAACCTGAAGCTGTACCTCAAGAGCGACGTGGATCCGCTCTTGGAGGCACCTGTTCCTGCACCTCCCTGAGTATCCACCATGGGCGTCCAGCTAAAAGACGGTAAAGAAGCGCTTGTGGGGAGGCAACCCCACCACGGTTTGACTTTCTTTCTTGTGTTTTGAGTCGGATTGTAAACCGGTTTGGTTTTGGTTTGTTTTCTTTTGTTTTGCATGATGTATTATTGGGTTGACCATTGGACCTAACATATTGTGTTTGAGCTCTTTGGTTTCCTTTAGCTGTGCTTGTCTTGAATGGTCCTCTCTCCAGTCCGCTCACTCCGACTGGTCCGCTTCCAGTCTCCTGCAGTCCATGCATACCTGTAACATCGTTCCCCTTTCCCTTCCCTCTTCTCCATTGAGGGCAATGTCGATCTTAAGTGTGGGGGGATGTTTATCTTTTGACTGCATTAGATCTGTTTGTGTGCTTGGAGCCTAGTCCACTGTCCAAATTTTTAAATTTGAGGGCTCCAAGTACGTGTTCCTTGCAATTGCCTGCTCAGTATGCTTTGAATTGACAGTCTTTATAGTAATATGCAACCTAGGGAGGTAGTGTAGCACTATGGAGGATGTTGATGCATTTAAGAAGTCTCATTTCTTCTTCATATTGTGTTGGTTGATTGAGTGAATTAGTGATCTTAGGACCCTTGAATTGTGTGGTGTTGTGGACTCTCTACCTGTCATGGACTCTTGTTTCATGTTTTGAGTTTAACAGGTGCTCGAAAATGTGCTTTAAAATAACGTCTCCCGTGCGAATAGGGCGAAAGTGTGTAAGGGGAGACGGGAATTTGTTCCCAATTTTCACCTACTACCTCCAGCCCCCTTACATGTCTTTCCCCCGCACGAGGCTCGAGACACCCACTCCTGGCATGGCCGGTAAGAGCCGGGCTCCCGCAAAACCTCTGCTAGGTGGGAGCCCCCATTTTCTGAAAAGCAAGTTGGGACCCTTGAAAAAAAAAAGGAAAAATAACAGAAAACAAGCAAAACAGAAAGAAAAGGGGTTCCAACCATCTTCAAGAAGAAAATAGAGCACCTTGAAAAATGTGAGTCCATGATCCTTTGTTTTTGAGAATCTCTTCATCCATGATTCATTTGTCCTCTGTTCACTATTTGCCATGATGCCGACTCGATACTAGTGCTCTCGCCGAAGAAGCTATGCGATGACTTGTGCGTCGGTTGACCTCGTAAGCTGCTAAATGATATAGGAAGTCCTCTACCTACGATCTGGGTTGTTTGTTGCTATAGAGGTCTGGAGAGTTGCATTGGTTTGAGTTAGGTTTGCTTGGGGACAAGCAAACGGTTAAGTGTGGGGGAATTTGATAACGATGTAATTGTACGTATTTGCACCCCTAGTTCTTATCCATTTGAGGGGCATAGTCGTGTATTTTTGGCCTATTTTACGCCGGGTTGTGCTACTTTGTCATATTTCAGGTCCCATGCGTCAAAGGAAAGGCTAAGCACGAGTTTCGGGGCATTCAGAAGTCATTCGGTGGAGCTGGAGCCAAAACACGGGCACACCTAAAACAGAACACAGCCGTGTTCCTAGGCCGTGCTTTTACTGCCGAGAGCTGATTTGAGTTTGGCAAACTCGAGCTGAAAACACGGGTAGGGCTGAGAAAAAGCACGGTCGTGTCCACCAAAGCACGACCGTGTCCACCCAAAAGCACGGCCGTGTTTCTCCCAACAGGCTAGCCGTGTAATTAACCCTAGCCAAAGCACGGGCGGGCTGAGGCAAAACACGGCCGTGCCCTCGACCGTGCTTTGCCCAGTGATGCCTTTTTAAGCAGATTTCAGCCAAAACAGAAGGGGGATTGGAGTTTTAGAGAGACAGAGCGATTCCTAAAGAGAGAAAGCGACGAACAAGAGTCTCCAAGTGCCCTAGCTTGATCTTCATCACCATTGGAGCTTGGCTTGAGCTTGGAGAAGTGCCAATCAACGTCCAGGAGCAGGAATCCATCCTTCACGATATGAATTCCGCGTCTGATTCTGCTTTTGCTTCTTTCTCCATGGAGTAGTTCTCCCATTCATCTGGGTATGGAGAACCCTAGATTTGTGTGTTAGGTTTGATTGTATGAACCCAAGTACTGATTCTATGATTTTATTATATTCAATTGAGGTTTGAATGATTGAATGGCATGAATCCTGATCAAATTCCTGTTGTTTCTGCTTTAACCTAGAATGAGAATATCTGCCTAGGTTGATAGAGCATCCTTGATTGAAGGTAGGGAGTTGATGACTTTAGTCGAGGAGCCAACTCACTATTCTCTACCGAATTCACTTCGGTAGTGGAGGTTTTGTTGTTAGGGCCTCAATCTGGTTACTCCGGTGGAGGTTAGCCGCCCGCTAGAGACTCAGATTGAGAGGGTCTGAAGACCTTTAGTCGAGACTTCAGACTGCTTAAGAACCTTCGCAGTATAACTATCATAGAAACTGAACTTGGTAATTGCAATCTGGCTTAACTGCAGTCTAGGGGGAACCATATCCGGGTGACCTCTCTTAACCTGAAAACAACAGTTTACTTGCTTTGTTTGTTTGTTAGTTTAGACTTGCATTAAAGTTTCATTGCTAGATAACAAGAATTCATCGAGTAGTCATAAAATCTAGGACCCGGGTTGACATTAAAACCCAAACCCGCTATACTACGCTTTAGGAAGTGGTTTCACTTGGCCAATTCCTAGAGTGACAGTAGAAGTGAGTCACTCCACCTTTGGTTTGTTGATTTTGCAGGATCATGTCTCTTGACCACCCGTTCATGCAGGATCTGCGCCTGCACCCGGAGTACGCTGACCAGTACTGCCGGGTCATACGCGGAGTGCTCTAGCGCCATCACCACTTTGAGTGGGGAATTTTTGAGGTTGATAGAGCACCCTTGATTGAAGGTAGTGAATTGACGACTTTAGTCGAGGAGTCAATTCACTATTCTGTATCGGATTTACTCAGGTAGAGGAGGTTTGGTTCGTTAGGGCCTCAATCTATTTACTCCGGTGGAGGTTAGTCGCCTGCTAGGGACTCAGATTGAGAGGGTTTGGAGACCTTTAGTCGAGACTGCAGACTGTTTAAGAACCTCTCGCAGTATAACTATCTATGAACTTGAACTTGGTGAATTACAACCTGGCTTAACCGCAGTCTAGGGGGAACCATATCTGGGTGACCTCTCTCAACTTTGAACACAACTTTCACTGTTTTTGCTTGCTAGTTTAGTTAAACCTTCAATACACTTGAACCGCTAAATAATAAGATTTTTACGGAATAGTCATTACACCTAGGACCCAGTTTGACATTTAGAACTCAACCCGCCATACTACGCATTAGTAGGTGGTTACACTTGGCCACTTTCTAGTACGACAGTAGAGGCGTGTCAACTATTATATACTACAAAGTGAAAAGAAAGAAAGACATGGGCCTTTCTTTAAAGAAAATGATATGGTCCAGTCCATATACCTTTCTGGGCTTCGGCTTGATCCACAATTTCCCCAACAACCAGCCTTCTGTCTTCAGTCTTCACAGAACACTTCCGAAATCATTAGATACGGCTAGCGGTTAGCACTTCGAAAAAATTGAAACCTCGAGAACGCTCTTTCTTCCCTCCTTTGCTGCTTGCCGGAGGACGCTTTCTGCAAAGTCTGTCTCTTCTTTCAGATTAACTAAATAATAATGGGGGTGAAGAACTTGTGGGATATCTTGGAATCGTGCAAGAAAACTCTGCCACTCCATCATCTTCAGTAAGTTGGTTCCCTTGCTCCTTCATTTGCTCATTTCCCTCCTCTTTCTCGCCTAATTAGTTGGAAGCTGAGTGGGAATTTGGGTAATTTAACTTTGAAGGAACAAGAGGGTGTGCGTAGATCTGTCGTGCTGGATGGTTCAGCTTGAAAGGGTGAACAAATCACATTGTGCTCTCAAAGAGAAGCTCTATCTCAAGGGTCTCTTTCACCGCATTAGAGCGCTCATTGCTTTGAATTGTAGCCTCATCTTTGTAACCGGTAATGTATTTGCTTGGAATTGTTCGAAAGTTGGAATCTTCTGTACGATTAGACTTCCGCTCAGTAGATTTTGGTACTTGGATTGCTGATGATTTCTTTGGGAAAGTTCGGGTTGGATTGATAGTCTTGATGGGTGTGGTTAGGCTTAGTTGGAGCAGCCTGTCCAGTTCTCTGGTTGTTTATAATAAGGCTTCGGCTGGATTTTTGGTGCCTGCTTTTCCAGATGGTTCGATTCCAGCAATCAAATTGGCCACTTACAGGCGCCGTTTGAATTCTGGAACTGAGGTATTTTCTTTGGAGACTGTTCATTCTCCATGATTTATTCCTATTAGTTTGTCCAGGCTTTTGAGAAATTTTCATTGTGATACTGCAGGCTGCTCAAGATGAGATTGGTTCACAAAATGCATGCTCACTTCGCAGAAATGCAGGTTCGGAGTTCTCTCGCATGATAAAGGAAGCAAAGTTGCTGGGATCAGCTCTTGGGATTCCTTGCTTAGACAGGTAAAGCTGCAATTTAACTTGTCGTTTCCCTACTTGATTTGTAGCATTGAAGGCAAGAGAGGACAGCGTTGTTGTTGGCTTTCTGTTATATCAATGCGGAGATCATTAACCAGGAGGCGATGATGATTGTGCTCTATTGTTCTCAACAAAGAACCCTGACAACCCGCTCTCTGTCTTTTCTCAGCGTCGAGGAAGCTGAAGCGCAGTGTGCAGTATTAAATGCAGAATCTCAGTGTGTAAGCATCAAGATTTTCTTTTTCTTACTTAGTTACTTGAGACTTTGCTGGTATAGTTTGGAGCACTTGAGAGTTTGTGGCCTATCGTTTTACTTGATCAGGATGGATGCTTCAGTTCAGATTCAGATATTTTCCTTTTTGGTGCAAGAACTGTGTACAGAGACATATCCCTTGGTAAGACTGATCAGCGGATAACTGTTCTTTCAAACTCTTCAGCCTCATTAACAACTTTATTCTATAAATGCCATTGCTAATCTTAATGTCTGATGGTAAGGGGATGGTGGTCACGTCGTGTGCTATGAAATGGCCGACATAGAAACAAAACTTGGGTATGGTAGGAACTCGTTGGTAAGATTCTCCATCTCTAATGCACTGAAGGGAACACTTTAGCCTGAGGGCCTGATCCAACTTAGGCACTGAAGGCCAGGGCTAATCTACGAGTTTGTGTTGTTGTCTGCAGATTACATTGGCCCTTCTTCTTGGAGGGGATTACTCCAGTGGAGTTTACGGGCTGGGACCAGTATGTTTGACTATATTGTTACTCCCCTCATTTTGTCAAACCTTTTACTTCTTCACCAGAATGGGGCAACAACAACAATGCACCTAATTTCCTATTATATGCAGGAGTCAGCTTGCCAAATTGTGAAAACAGTTGGAGACGCCAGCATCCTTCAGAAAATAGCATCTGAACGGCTCTCCCTTGCTAGGAAGAAGAAGACTTCAAAGAAACATGACTCTGCATCTCTTAAGGACAACCAGTTGGAACCTGAAGCTCCTGTTGACTCAGAAAGGCAAAAGGAATTCTTGCAAGTAATCAATGCATATCTCAAGCCCAAGTGTCACTCCATCGATTCAGAAGCAGTCTACAGGGTTCTTGGCCAGTACCCATTTCAACCTGCCAAGTTGCAGCAGATTTGTGCCGACTTCTTTGATTGGCCTCCTGAGAAAACAGGTAGACTGAAACTTTTCTTTGATGAAAAGAAACCCATTTCTTATTTTAAGGGCCTGCTTTTAGTGCCATTGCCTTGTTCTTGAGTTAGATGAATACATCCTCCCAAAAGTAGCCGAGAGGGAACTAAGGAGATTCGCGAACCTACGTTCCACTTCATCACAGCTAGGAGTTGCGCCTTCTCTAAACAGGGTACTCTGCCTTTTCCATCTCCTCGTCCTTCTCATCTTTCTGTTTCCATTCAGAAATCATATGATAAAATTTCCTATATGCGTTTTACACAGATGCCAATCAAATGCCCTGTTGCTGAGATCATCAAACCTAGAAAAGTCCAGGGAAGAGATTGCTTCGAGGTCTTGTGGGAAGCTTTCAATGGGCTTAAGACCTCCATAGTTCCAGCAGATCTCATACAAAAGTAAGTTTAATGATGAGGGTGGGAATTGCTAATGTCGGTCTTTGGTAAGATTCTTTTTCATATAACAAAAAAATCATATGCGCTCTCCAGTGCTTGTCCAGAAAAGATTGTGGAGTTTGAGGAGAACAAAGCTAGAGCAAAGAAACAAAATCAGCGAAAAGCAAGAACTAATAAGCCACAGAAGGGGCATGCTGCTGCAGAACTTGACTTGAAGCTCCAAAATCTACTGCTTGAAATCGATTCAGGAAATGGAAGCAGCAGCACTCCTCATGAAGATGCCAAGAAATGTGATGGGATGGTCGGTTACTCAGAAGCTTGGCATGATGAAGAAGCAGGTTCGGAGAGTTGTGACATGTCAATTTCACCTCTTCAAAGTGATAAAACTACGACAGAGTTCATGTTGATTTCACCTCTTCAAAGTAATAGCACTAGCAAGGAGTTCATTGATCTTCTGACGCCTGCTCCATTCCCTAGTAGTCGCGTATTTCCAACATGTCAAAATGAGAATGCTGAACCCATAGTAATCCCGGTGATAGACTTGAGCGACTCAGAGACCGAGAGGTCACCAGAGCATTTGAGAAGAGCCAGAGACCTTAGATTGTTCATAGCTAGCATTAAGGATTGACAATTTCTAGTCAACTTTGCACTTACAATGGTAAGTTGCAAGTTACTGGGATCCCCCAAAGAAAAAGGTGAATGAACGTCTATTGATTAATGATCATGATTAATGATCACCATACATGCGTATGAAAGCTTTTTGTACATGCAGATTCCTTCACGAATGAGAACCCGGATGATAAAACCTTTTAACAATAAACAGAACAGCTCTCATCCATAAGATCATAATTCATTGGCCATTATTTGTGTGGTTTTCTGAGATTCAATTTGCTTCTTACTGTTGATCAATGATCTGCATTCCTACTGTATTATCTCCTAGTTCGCCACTTTCTGCCAAATCCAACCAGGTAGCCATGTGATCACATCATAACTAATTCATCACATAATAATCAAATATAACACTTCAAGATCCACCTTAACCCTCGGTTGCTTTTCAGTTTCAGAAAAGCATGCACTTCCTCATGTGTAATAACACAACAAAGTCCTACAGCCTCATCAATGCCTAACATAAAGGCCAGGGAATGTCTGAATCCACTCTCTGCAGTCTGCACTGGTAAGCAGATAACACCACCGGTATAGACCATATACCAACTGTGTCAAGTTTCAAAAGTGAAAACTCAATCTTACAATGGAGATAACTAGGAAAACATGAGACAATTTGGGAATACAGAGATGTGGCACACTCCCAGCTGACACTAAATAACATCTCTCAAACGTAACTGTCAATTAAAGACTTCCTCATCTCATCCACGATGGCGCTGGGTTGAGCTTTCCTCAACTTGAAAACGTTCTCGATGACAGACAATTCTGTTGCTGTAGTGTCTGAGCCACAGAATGCAGTCCAGTCATTAACTGTCATTCCTGCGGCTATGAGATCACTGCCACGGTTAACTGTTCCGGCAACCAAGGGAACCTGAAGAAGGGTGGAAAGCTCATCCAGCTCTTCAATAGAAGTGTGGGGGTGCACCTGCATAGTTTTTGACTGGTGGAAATGAGATAATGGCACGTATTGTGCAAACTCTAGACAAGAAAAGAGAAGTAAAAGGTTAGTGTGCCTTTACCATGCCGCCTCTGTTTGAAAGAGCACAGTAGGTTCCTACAAGAATATTACCAGCGATCGTCGTCCTGAATACTTCAACCCCAAGAACATCAGCTATCAGTTCTTCAGTTTTCTAGTCATAGTAGAATTGGAAGGGATAATTAGCCTTGAAGCAAATGCTATGAACTGAGATATTTCAAGCAATGCTGCAAACTTTTTAGCAACATAAGACATTTGAGTGATGATAACAGACATGTTTGGACTACTGTTTCACTACTCGAACAATTTGCTATAATACTAGCACAAGCAACAGTTATAAACCCTTACCCTGTCAAGATCAGTATGTGCAAGAGCAACATGATCATTACAAGCAATGTGATTTCCAAGAGCATTCAATCTCTCGTCTATCCTCTGGACAACAACTGAATCAGGTAGACTGTTCCTCAAGTGCTGAAGTTCTACAAGAGTGAGAAGCGAGCACAGATGGTTAGAGTCGGTCAATCAACAAAGGCACCAATTGACCAGAAGCAGACATGTCGTCGAATAAAACTCATCAAACTCACCCTGATCAGTGGTGGTGTGTGGCACAAGAAGTCCATTTTTGTTTCCTGCCAAAGGAAGGATAGAGGAGTGAGCACAAATCATTGGCAACCGACGACGACGACAACAATACGAAACAACAGACAAACACTGATCTTACCAGCACATGCCCTGCCGATTATTCTAGTGCCCGCAATTGAGGTCTTAACCACGGGAATGACATCTGCCAACTCGTACTCATAGATACTGCAACAAGGGTAAGCAGTTGTACATGGGCGCTGGGCCGTGCTTGGGCCGGCACGGGCACGCTTCGGGCCCATTTATTTCGTACCGTGCTTGGCACGGCCCGTCAGTTTTCGTGTCGTGCCATGTAAGCCTATTTGTCAACTTTGCTAGGTCCGGCCTAGGCCCTGGCACGGTTCGAATCGTGCCGTGCCTATTCGTGCTCGTGCCATGCTCGTATTCGTGTTTAATGAAAATGACGAAAACAAAAGAGATAATGAAAAAGAAGGTGAAAATTGGACGGGGGAAGATAGTATTAACCGATAATATTTGAGAAAACTAACAAATAGGGGGCAAAAGAAAATTGAAAGTATAGCGAGTGTGATTTGGATTTGTTTAATTATTTGTCCATTTTTACTTATGTTAGTAATTACGTATATATCTTTATGACACTTCTAACAACAACAAATAATTATTTTTCTACTTGTGTTTTGTAATATTTGAACCTATAATTCTTTTTATACTTATTTTCTATCAAATAAATATTATTTTCGTGCCATGTCCGTTCTTATACTCAATAGATTCTCAAAAATATTAGGCCCGACACAGCCCACTTATATACCGTCCCGTCCCGTGCCCATGCTCGTGCCCATGAAGTTTAGGCCCGGCACGGCCCATAAATTATTCGTGCTCGTGTCAGGCTGGCCCATTTATTTCGTGCCCGTACTCATGTCGTGCTCTAACCGTGTCGTGTCGTGCTAGCCCATGGGTGGCACGGCCTGTTGCCCACGTACACAAGCAGTCCAGAGACTGCCATTCCAACAACAACAAAAAATCGTTTCAATCATCATCTCATAATCGTCGCAGAAAAGGTTCAAACTTTATCCGGAAGAAGCGTTTGTACCTGTAGAAGCTTTCAGACCCTCCAATCGCGACCAAGCAATATGCATTTGTGAGCTTGGAGAAAACACCAACTTCACAATTGTTCTCGAATTGAAGCCCTGAGTAAGGAAAACAAAATAACTTAAGTTATACATAAATAAGAAAAACTTGTTCTAGTCTTCACCCGAACGATCATAGCAATCATTTTGTCAGGAAACTTACTGGTCGCCATGACGAACAACAAACAGCAGCCAGGGATTCAGAAGCTACAAGCACGCCGGTATAATCGAGAGCTACAATGCAGAAAAAACGCCACTTTCAATCACGACAGAAGAGAATTGAAAGAACATACAAAAAAGACTACAAAGTAGCAGAACAAAGAAGGATGTACCATAGAGTGATTCCGGGACTGGGATTAAGGGCATAATCAATCGGCTGCGTAATGCTGCAAGCTGATACACGCAAGAACGGAGAAGAACAAGTAGAAAGGAAGGAGAGGTACCTTGGATTAGGGTTTCTGTTCTTGTTTTCCAAACTTTCAGATGGAGTTTTTGTTCATTAGCTGGATGACTTGGCTCTCACAGACACTTATGTGCTGCTTAGGGCAAGAATGGTAAACCTGGAACAGCGCGGCGCTTTATTTGACCTAAAGAAAAAGCTGGATTGGGCCTTCTACCGGTTCGGCCCAATACATATTGATTCATCACAAATCATTAGTGTGAATAATCAACCCACGCTCCGCAACGGACTAAGGGGTTGTTTGGAAGTTGCGATTGTTAGCATTGTATTTGTTAAATACATGTATTGTCCACAATACAACGTTTGGAAGTGTCAAGTTGCAAAACAATGCATGTATTGTTTTGTGTGGGTCCCACCAACAATCAACAAAAATTAGGGATTGTACAATCTCAACTAAAAGTTGAGATTGTTGTGATTGTTGGTTTAATAATGAGCACATTTACTTTTTCCAATTATATCCATAGTTCTTTTTGTTTTATATTAAAAGTGGAGGATAAATATGACATTTCCTTATAAAGTAACTTTATAACAATCAATTCATAAATTATAATCTCAACAACCAAACAATGTAATTTTAAAATGCATCTATTGTATCAATGCATGCATTTATATCATAGTGATTTATAACAATACAACGATTTAAGATACACAACTTCCAAACGAACCCTAAGTTTCATTTTCGAGTTGTCGCGGAGATTATGCGGAACATTTTAATTTGAAAGTACAGTTACTCAAAGTACAGAATGCAACTGCATTATGAATCTGGATGGACCATGAGCTATTGCTTGTTTATACACCAAAAGAACATAAAATCTACGATAATTATTTGGCTACGATTCCACGGGTGTAAGGTGGTGCAATGTATAGTTTTGCGTATCTTAGAACGTTTCAACTGTCAAAAGATCTATTATATACATTGCATACATACTGCGGCTATGTTGGAAGCCCAAATTCTCTGTCCTAAATTGGAATTGAGGTCATGAGGTGTGCTGAGTAGGGATGACAATCAAACCCATGGCCACAGGTACCCGATCACCCTCGACCCAGTCAACGCGGGTAATCCCCGCTTTGACCGGGTATGGGGTGGGTATGGGTAAAACCCCAAAAAGTTTGATGGGTATGGGGCGGGTATGGGTAAAGCCTCCCCCGCTCCATACCCTACCCATATCCGCCCCACCAAGAGAATTTCTTCACATATACAAAAATATGTTGATCAAATTGTAATATATCAATGATAATGAGGATAACTCGAGGAAATAAATAGTAGAAATGCAATTGAGTGACCACCTTAATCAAAACCTAATTCATTTCCCTCAATTCTCCTTTCACTCTTTCACTTTCCCCCTTTTTAACAAGAATATGTTAGTTAATTATTTCTTAGTAGATGTATCAGAGTTAAAACATAATAATTTGAAAAATATTATACTCTATATTATTAATTAATGAATATTTTAGGATCATATTCTTTGAACCGTATTAAGAAAATGATCGTGTTTTGTTGAATTCGTGATATAATAGGTACGTTTAGAGTTGTAGTTAAAACTTTTCTTGTAAATTTTAGGATAATAATGTTGGATGTACGGGTACGGGTATTACTCATGGGTACCCGAAACCCACAGGTATGGGGATGGGTTTGCCAAACATCCCCGCATGAGTATAGGACGGGTATGGGTTTGGATATTTGAAGATGGGATGTGGATGGTTTAGACAAACCCGCCCCATTGCCATCCCTAGTGCTGAGAAACCCGGATGACCTAGATCTTTTGCCCGAGCTCTACTGCGATAGGGAAATCATTATTTCAAAGTATTTTAATTTTTGTCATCAAACACATTTAGTTAGCCTAAGGAAAAACCGAAATAGCTGAAATGATTTCTCACCAGATGACTTATTCAGGTATGAGATCATCCAAACTTTAGGTTTACATTTTTTCAACTTCCACGACTATTTAAACACATTACATAGATAAACGCAAACTAAATCATCACTATACAATTCAATCAAACACAGCAGGCTACCCTAGTTGCAGTTGCTGGCAAAGGACAACCAGTAGATTTTGAAGTTCAACTATCCTGGACTATATTGTGCTCATGAGAAACGTTTACATGAGATATTGGAGAAGTCAAGTACAACCTATCTCCAACAGTACATATGAATCATCCAAATAAAAAAGAACTAACAAAATTAACAGACTGTATCATTTTAACAACAAAAGACATTCTATTGACGTTTCAACTCTTGTAAGACCTTTTCCTTCCATTGTATGGCCAACTAAAGTCACTCACCAGCTTCAGCAGTGAGGACTCTGTCCCTTGTTTCCAGGGGAAGTACCGGATGTGTTTTCATCAGTGAAGCCTCGAGTTCCTGATTTCTTCCAGAGGTGGCACCAGATGGGTTTCTTTCGAGTCAAACCACATGACCTTCAACTTATTACTTTGCTACCTACATGATATAAGAATGAGGATTACAATAACCAATTACTTGAATGATTTGGGTAGTAGAGAAAAATATTAAAACTTGTAATAACTTGCGAAGCTGCCAATTGGCAAAGCTTTAGAGCACTGCTATCTCTTTGTAGTTCATCATCCCGTCAAAGTAACTTCAATCGAAATCGATCCATTTAACCAAAAAAAAGAAAAAAGTGGCAAAAGATTTGAAAGGACTTGCAAAATGCAAAAGTCAGTAACTATTAAATGATGAACTGAGGCTTGGCATAAATTAGTAGCGCTTTTTATCAACCACATTAGTCTAATCCGAATTTCCTATGGTAAGTTGAAGTAAGGTAACTTGAATTTTTTTACCTGCTATAGCAGGTTTCACAGGTCACATTACGTAAAATACAATAGGCATTACGTAATGGTTACATAACATATGCCAATCTTACGTAACAGTTGTAAAAGGTCATTACGGAAGCCTTACGTAAAATGTTAAGTCATTACGGAAGCCTTACATAATGCTACTGATTTAACTGTTACGTAAGAAATAACTGTCGTTACGTAACCTTTGTGTAATGGAAGGTCTTTTTACGTAATGAGTATTAACCTCGCGTTACGTAAAGTGTTAAGTCATTACGGAAGCCTTACGTAACACTTCCGATTTAACTGTTACGTAAGAAATAACTACCCATTCGTAACCTTTACGTAATGAATGTGTATTTTACGTAACAGTTGTAAAATGTCATTACGGAAGCCTTACGTAATGGAAGGTCTCTTTACGTAATGAGTGTTAATGTCGTGTTACGTAAAGAGCTAAGTCATTACGAAAGCTTTCCGTAACGCTTCTGATTTGACTATTACGTAAGAAACATGGTTCAAAAAGGCACGCTTAATCTTACGCTTAGGCACGCCTAGGCGCAAGGCAATGACAAAACGCCTCGCCTAGGGATTTCGCGCCTAATTAGATACTGGAACAGGTTAATGGAGTACGGCGACATATAAGTCTCTCCTAAACATTACTAGATGGAGCTAAGAAGCCAATATTAAATACCAAAATTAACATCAACTATGAAATCAAGTTTATGTTGCAATTTTTTCAATAGCTCAAGAACTTTGTGAACTATTGAGCTATGATTCTATGAACTCATTAGCTATATTCCTGTCATTAAGTGTTGAGTAAGTTATTAATCATTTTAACTGAAGTGAGGAAGTGTTGTAGATTATTATTTCATTCATCATGCACTGCGAATAACTATTTTCTTCCAACGCCTAGGCACGCTTAGTCAACTCCTAGGCGAGCTAGGCGCAAGGCAAAGGCTCAACGCCCGCCTTACGCCTAGCGCCTTTTTGAACCTTGGTAAGAAATAACTATCATTCCGTACCCTTTACGTAATAGAAGGTCTCTTTATGTAATGAGTATTAACCTCACGTTATGTAAAGTGCTAAGTTATTACGGAAGCTTTACGTAACGCTTCTAATTCAATAATAATTAAAATAAGAAAAGGGTAAAAAAAGGAAAGCAAATAAATTTGAAAAAGGAAAGGAAAAAAACAAAGAATGGTAACTTAAGTGGGTGGTGACCGGAAACCCCTTGTTCCCAATGATTTTTTAGTTATTTTTCTATTTTTTATTTCTTTAATCAATGGTTTAAAATAAGTTTGATCGATTTTAATGGTTTAGATCTATTAACTTGAAATTGTACCCAAGTTACTGTAGGAGTCTAAAGATTATATAATACATTCCCCAGGCCCCACAAACAGCCTGAGGTAAAACTAAGGAGTTGGCGTCATCGAACTGGAATTGATAACAACGAGTAGTGACAGCTCGTAGCTCACAAGGGGCAGTCAATCAAGCATAGAAGTAAGGAAAACTAAAACCAATAGAGAACCAATGATCAGAAATAATAATTAAACAGACCAGTGAGCTACTGAGATCTTGGAAGTGCCAACATCTTGTGAATGTTTATAATCATAAACCTCTCTTCAATGCTTAATTGACTCCGCCACATAAAGAAGACCAACACATAGGCACAAGAGGACACCCTAACTACTAACAATAAAAGATAAACAGATCGTCATCTAAGTTCTTTGGAGGAGAACCTAATCACCATCTTGACACAACTTAGCTGCTCTAGCATCCACTGCGAATGCTTCATTCAAATACAAACATAAGGATCCATTTTTTGAACCCTTTGATTATGGATATCCATTAAAAGCAAAAGCGATAGTCTTCGACAAATAGAAATATAGCTTGCGTAGAATGAAAAATCACATAAGTTTA